TAAAGAAAAAAGTGCAACAATGAATGAATGAAAATCCAAAATCTCTGTAAATGTTCATTAAAATTAATAAAATAAAATTTAAAAAATAAAAGAATCACTTCAGCTGCACTTTCCCCCAAGACCTGTTTGTACTTTTGGCAGTCCACGTATTATTGAGCATTCTTCTTTACCACCACAGCTCAAAGGCATCGATTCTTCTGTCATCTTTATTCATTACCCAGCTCTCAGCTGCACCGCAAGTGACTGAAAAGATCATGGCCTGGATCAGGTTCACCTGAGCCTTCAAACTGATGGAGGGTCACTGAGGGAAAGACCTTCACAAAGATGACCTGACAAGAGTGAGTGTAACAGAGCTAAATGTGTCAGAGGTATGAGGTCGGCACAGGGCAGGGCAGGCTTCAGATCTATTGTTTCTAGGGTCAGTATGACTTGTACTCAATAGCACCTAAAGACAAGGGCATCAACCGGGAAACATTCTCCAACTGGTCTGACCTCTGTTTTCTCCCTGCACATGTGTTTTCTATCTGACGCTGAGCGAAGAGCAGGCCTCCAGGACGCAGACACGCCTGCGCTCTGAGCACCAACCAGATCAAACATAGGAAGAGCCGCTGAATCTCCGGAGTGGAGTCCTGGGATGGAGGCAGTAGAACCGCCCAGTGACTTGGTGGAAATGGACAGTCGCAGCCAAAGCTTGTTGGCTAACCCCGGGCATGGGACCCAACCATACAGCTTAACAAGCCTTCCAGGTGGTCCTGGGGTCCACTCCAGTCTGTGGGATGAAGAAGTTCGAAACTAGCAGATGTCTGGCAGTGGCTGTGTTCTAGTTGTCTGTCTACAAGTTTGTGTATATATATCTCACATCCCAAACTCCTACCCCAAAGGCAGACAATGTGAATTCATAAGCTGCCCCAGAGGAGAAAGATGAGCAGTGGACAGTCTCTGAAAACCCACTGGAGGGACAGCTAAGAGTCAGCGCCAACTCGATGGCACACAACAACTACAACAAGAACAGGGCAAGGGTCCCTGGTGGCACAGAGGTTGAGTACTCAGCTGTCAGCTGACAGGTCTGCAGTTCAAAGCCACCAGCTGATTCTTTCTCCAAGGGAGAAGACTGGAGCAGCCTGCATCTGGAAAGGTAGCAGCCTCAGAAGCCCTCGGGGGCCGTGTGACACTGTCCTATCAGCAGGTCACCATGAGTCAGAATCAACAGCAACAGGTTTGGTTATATAAGGACAGAGCCAACACCACACAATAAATCTACATGTGAAACTTCATCTAAAGCCCCTTTGCACGCAGTTCCATCCCCCTGGCCTGTTAATGCCAGCATTTCTCAGAGGAAAACTATGCAGGAAACGGACAGCTTAGCCCTGCTGGGTTATCTTGCGGGCCTGATTCCTCCTGCCTGCTGAAGTGGGATCTGTAGCTCTGTGAGATCAAAGCTCAGGGCTTATGCTCAGAACCGCCCTCCACCACTGGGCACCACAGAGAAGTGAGGGCATTTGCACAAAAACAGCACTTTGAGTTCTTGGTTTGCTTTCCAGATTTTCTTCTGTCTCTTCTTACAGACATGCCACGTGCTGCTTCTGCAGAATGGATGCCTCAGACATCACCCCCAGAGCCTTTCAAGTCAGTCACTCCTGACTCACACAGACCCTACGTGTGACAGCACAGAGGTCCACCCCTCAGGGTCTCATGCAGACCCCGCGTGTGACAGCACAGAGGTCCACCCCTCACGGTCTCACACACAAACCCCACATGTAACAG